GAGGCAAAGTCCCGGCACGAGGGGCTGGACGGAGAGATCGGAGCCCGCCCTGGGGCTCCTCCGACTTGAGCAACTTGCAGTTGCCGTTGGTGAAGCCCACCGCCAGCAGCTTGCCGTCGGGGGAGAACTGGCGTGCGCCCGCAGGCATCCCCCCTCGCCACGAATGCCCCGCACTCTCACACCCTTCCTTCTCTCTAGACTCCCCTCGCCTTCGGGCAAGGGCTACAGCAGATGAGCCAGAGGAGGCATGGCCAGGGCCGATCGGTTGACGCACTCGGAGTTTTTGATTTATGTCTGCGCACGTTCGCTAGGCAGCTTCTCGCTGTTGTCGTTCCCACTTGTCCTCCTCCCTCCTCTCCTCCCTTCTTATCGCCGATGCCTGTCTTCCGTGTTGTCGGAGCACGAGGAGACTGGTAGGGCTCGTCTGCGACGTGATGCGAGCTCGGCGCCCGCGCTCCTGCCGGTCGCGTCAGGACTCGAACAAGCTGTGTGTCGGTCCACTTGTTTGACCGGCGGCGGCTAGGATTCAAGTTGCTGTCGTGGCTACTGCATGGCTGCTGCGGCGCGAATTGGGCACTACGGCGGCAAGAAAAGCGGGAGGAAAGGGGGGAGAGGGCCACTGGGTCAGTCTACACGCGGCAGGGCCGCTCGCCGTGCCGGCGGTGGCGAGCGATCCAGAGATGGGCAGCGTCATCCCTACTGGATGGCGGGCGCTTGCTGTCGCCACTCTTCTTGCGTCAGCTCGTTGGGGATGCGGTGGAGACCCTCAAGGTCCATTCTAAGTCCAGGGCAGTGCTGAAACGCCTGCTCTCTACCTGCAGAGAGGAGCCGCCAAGACGGGCCTCTGAAATGGATGCTGTACACGTCCTGGGAGCCTGGGCCGTCGAGATGCATCGGGTGTCAGATTGAGTCCCTCTGCTTGGGCGTAAGATTTGCATGGGAGTGTTTGAAGCACATATTTCCTCTCCCTTGCCTAGTCGTTCCCCAAGGACTTCGACCTCTTACTGTACTCGCACGCCACTGGCACCCGCACACGGGTTTCATGCTCTGAGTGCGGTGTCTCCCCCAGCCGGGCCTCCCCGCCCGCGCGCTCTCGTCCCGGCGCTCGCCTCATGTGCTCCAATTTGTCTGCCACTGCGCCCCAGTGCTTTCTTGAACGCTTCTTGGAGACAGGTCGCCGCCGACCAAAAGCTTCCAGCACCTCCAGCAGGCTGGCATCGAGGGTTGCGTGGCGACACCTGTAGGCAGGCCACGTCTTCAGCTACGAGCGTGCGTCGTAGGATCAGCGGCATCAGCACGCCAAGCCCCTCGCAGCATACCGCCACGAGCTTCTGGTTCGCACTCGTCTTCGCGGCCTCCCATGAGCACGGTCGAAAGGGTATTACTGCGCAGGCTGTCTGGTGCTCCGTTCTGATCTGCGGTTGGCAGCGTCTACGCAAGGACATCTCAGTCGTCTGCGCGCTGATGCAACACCGAAGGCCGGCCCCAGGGGGTAGGCATTTCATCTGGGGTGCTTTCCGGGCCTAGCGAACAGACGTGGCACTTCTCTCCTGAATCTCAACAGCTGATCAGTGCAGGGCCGTGGTGTACGCTGCATGGCTGGCAAGCAGATCGGCCTGAATGGCAAGGATGCTGAGGTCGTCGATGTAAGCGAAGAGCTCGTGGTGGACTCGTGGTGTAGCAAGAGAATACTTCGTTTCCTCGAGAACCCTGACAGCCGTCAGGCAGAACACCGTTTTGCCATTCTGCGGCCCAGAAATGCGAAACTGGCCCGCAGCCAGACGTGCGGCGTGCGGGCACTCTCCGCCATACTTTTCCCGATCCCTCTCACGATGCCTCTCCCTCCTCCTCCATCATCTCCTGCTCCCGCTCCTGCTCCTGATCCTGCTGCTGATCCTTCTGGACGTCCTCCTGAGGCGCAACAGCCTGCCAAGACTGAGAGCACACACACACACACACCAAAAGGTACGGCGCAGAATGGAGGGGAAACCTGCGATGCGGAGGATGAGCGGTAAAACGGCATGGGGTTCCCTCGTCCAGAACAACGCTTCGTGGGCCCATAGGGAGCTTCACCGAAGGCTCCAGTGGCGTTGCCCGCATGCGTCCGCCACACCCAGTACAGCGCTTCGTGGCCCCATAGGGAGCTCCACCGAAGGCCCCAGCGGCTGTGCCCGAATACGTCCGCCACACCCAGTACAGCGCTTCGTGGCCCCATAAGGAAATCCACCGAAGGCCTCAATGGCTGTGCCCGCATGCGTCCGCCACATCCAGCACAGCGCTTCGTGGCCCCATAGGAAGCTCCACCGAAGGCCCCAGTGGCTGCACTTGCATGCGGTTCCCACACCCAGCACAGCGCTTCGTGGCCCCATGGGGAGCTCCACTGAAGGCCCCAGCGGCTGCACGCGCATGCGGTTCCCCCACCAACTGCAACGTTCCGTGGCCCTATAAGGGGGCTCCACCGAAGGCCCCAGTGGCTGCACTCGCATGCGGTCCCCCCACCCAGCACAACGCTTCGTGGCCCCATAAGGATGCGGTTCCCCCACGTGGTACAGCGCGTCGTGGCCCCACAGGGGGCTCCACCGGAGGTCCCAGCGGCTGCACCTGCACGCGTTTCCCCCGCCCAGTACAGCGCTTCGTTGCCCCATAGGGAGCTCCACCGAAGGCCCCAATGGCTGCACTCGCATGCGACCGCCCCACCCAGTACAGCGTTTCGGGGCCCATAAGGGAGCTCCACCGAAGGCCCCTGTGGCGGTGTCCGCATTCGCTTCCCCATCCAGGAAAGCGCTTCTCGGACCCATGGGGAGAGCTCCGACGAAGGCCCCACTGGCGGCCCCGCCCCATTGCGGCGCACCCCTCACAGGTTTCGCGGCCCCATAGCGAGTTCCGCGTAGAGCCCCGGAGGCAGCGCCCACATGGCGGCACCGCTCGACATCGGCGCACCCTTCGCATGCTTCATGACCCAATGGGGAGATTCCCCGAAGGCGATGCCCGCAACGACGGTACCCACAACTGCATATGATAGGGGTCCTTCGCCAGGATACTTTCGCGTGGCTGTGGTGGCCTCCTGACGAGCGAGGCGCTGCTCGACCTGATTGGGGAGGGAGTCAAAGCTGGACTTGACGGAGCCCTGCAGGGCGGACATGGCCGCCTGCACCCTGGCTATTCCCTCAGGACGACGAGCGTCACCACGGGAAAAAACGTTGCCAGCCACTGAAGTTTCAGTCGCGACGACGTTTGCCTTGGGACAACGTTTGCCTAGGAACAGGAGGGTCACTCGCAGGAAAGAAGCCGTCGTCGTCTGCGAGCGCCTCAGCCGGGGACTGCGTGAAGTGATGGCCGTTGATGGTGACGCCTGCGCCTTTGCCGCCTCGTTCTGCCCCTTTGCCGTCGAGGCTGGGGGCCTTTGATCTGGCGGTGGGGCATCAGAGGAGCTGTCGCACCAGAGTGCGATGGGGAAATCGGAGATACGAGAAAGTGCCCACCTAGATTTGACACCAGAGCGCCCTGTAAGAAGAGCTGCCGCATTCAAAAGGGGCCTGTCCCCATCTTGAGCCACATTTCGACGGGCATCCTCCTCGTCCTGCTGCTTCCGCTCCTCCTCCCCCTCCCCCTTACTCCCCAACCATGATGTGGTGTCGGGTCCCTGTTTTTAAAGGACAGCGCCCCGCGTCGCCTCCTCCTCCTCCTCCTCCTCCTCCTCCTCCTCCTCCGCGCCCACCCCCAGCGAGCCTATGCTTTCCGCGCATCGGCCAGTTCGGCACACTCTGTGCGCGCTTCGTGGCCCAATGGGGAGCTCCACCGCATTCGTCTGCCCCGCCCAGCACAACGCTTCGCGGCCCCATAGGGGGCTCCACCGGATGCCCCAGTGGCGACGATCGCAAGCGGCCGCCCCACCCAATACAACGGTTCGCCCCCATGGGGAACCCCGTCGAAGGCACCAGTGGCGACATTCGCACGCGTCCGCCCCGCCCACCACAGCGCTTCGTGGCCCCGTAGGGAGCTCCACTGGATGCCCCAATGACGACCTTCGCACGCGCCCACCCCATCTTTTACAGCGCTTCGTGGCCACATGGGGAGCCCCACCACCGAATGCCCTGGTGGCGATGTTCGCATGCGCCCGCACCACCCAGCACAGCACTTCGAGGCCCCATAAGAAGATTCACCGAAGGCCGCTGTGGCGACGCTCGCATGCGTTAGCCCCACCCGGTACTCACTGCCGCGGCCCCACAAGAAGCTCCACCGAAGGCCTCAATAGCGGCGTTCGCATGCGCCCGCCCCATCCAGTACAGCGCTTCGTGGCCCCATAGGGAGCTCCACCGGAGGCCTCAGTGGCGGCGTTCGCATGCGCCCGCACCACACAGTACAGCGCTTCGTGGCCCCGTAGGGAGCTTCACCGAAGGCCCCAGTGGCGACGCCCGCATGCGCCCGCCCAACCCAGCACAACGCTTCTTGGCCCCATTGGGTCTCCACCGAAGGCCCCAATGACGACCTTCGCATGCGGCCCCCCCACCCAGTACAGCGCTTCGTGGCGCCATGGGGAGCTCCACCGAAGGCCCCAGTGGCGACCTTCGCATGCACACCCCACCCAGTACAACGCGTCGTGGCCCGAGGGGGGTGCCCCCCGAAGGCACCAGTGGCGACGTTCGCCTGCGGAAGAAGAAGATGGTGAGTGAACCACATTGAACTATGATGTAGGCCCACAAAGGTAGCCTTAATCCAGAGAATAAAGGCGCTCAAGAGGACTGAACTGCATGATTTTCAAAGCCATCTCACAGGATGCCCTCATCAACATAGCACGTGCTTGGAGGGTGGGGGCCTGAGCGAGAACAAGCCGTCCGCTCTTGGACGTGACTTTGGAAACACTCGTCCAGAAGAGGGCGTCGAGAGCGAACTGCCTGGAGATGGCGCGCCGCTCGCTTGCGTAGAAAGGGCATTCACCCCACAGGAAGAGGGCCAGAGGTGTCCGCAGTTGGGACACGGGCGGCCCCTGCCTTCGCATCTCAGACGACACAGCTCCTGAAAGAAAAAGCCCAGCCGTACTCTGTCGCCCTGCCCTCGGACAAGGACGATCTCCACTTTGAAAACTTCTTGCTCGGCATCACTTCAACGTCCACCTCCTCGATGGACTCGGAATCGTGCCTGGTGCGTGTCACCGTCTGGAGACACCGTATTCTCGCAGTCAGCCTGGGAGCGTGATAAACTCTCTTGGCGTATCTCTCGTCCTGGGCAGAACGACTCCCAAAACGAAAGGTCCCCGCAGGGCACAAGGATTGCACAGCTCGCAACACTCGGTGATCATCGATCGGCGAGATCTCCATCAGACAGTCACGAGCCTCCGATAAGTGGATGAACTTGACGCCCAGCTCGGCAGCATGTCTTTGCAGAGAGACGTCCAATAACTCACTCCACGTCAACCTGTGGTCCGTGATGCTGACGAAGGCCCGCAGGGCCGCTCCCAGCACTGGGTGTAACTGTATACGTTGGCACCACCATTGTCCATGGCACCACCACTTTGTTTTCGTGCGCACGATAGCCTTGTGCAGGAGTCGTGCGGCTGTGCTTGGTACAGGGGCGATAATCGGCGTCGCCAACAGCCAGAGAGGTCGTACGTATTAGATCGCCAGCCTCTCACGCACCAGAGAAGAGCCAGGTATAGATCCCAAAGTACTGATAGCAGCAAACACTTTGTCCCAGCCCCTCCTGGGGCCAATCGGATATTCCACATCAGTAGGTCGGCACGTCACTCCAAGATGTTCCACCAGAGGTACAGGATCATCCGCAGAGTGCCAGACTTGCGTTTCTTCACGTTCTCTTTGAAACCAATGGCCTGGTCAAAGTTGGATGTGACCACGAGGTCATCGTTCACGAGGTCAGTCGAAATATTCGTGATCGAGCGATCGTCCATGTAGGCGATGCCATTGACATGTTGCCATGGGGCGAACTCCGCACATAGCGTGGCAGGTGCGAGAGCGTCTCCCTGGGGGAGGCCTCGCGTAGGCCGCACCGGTTGAACCAGCTGGCCATCCACGCTGAGGTTCGTTCGCATGCGCCCGCCCCACCCAGTACAACGCGTCGTGGCCCGAGGGGGGGGCTCTACCGAAGGCCCAAATGGAGACGTTCGCATGCGTCCGCCCCACCCTGCACCGCGTTTCGAGGCAATTTAAGGATTTCCGCCGACGGCCCCAATGGCAATGCTCACATGCGCCCGCCAGACCCAGCATAGCGCTTCCTGGCCCCATAGGGAGCTCCACCGAAGGCCCTAGTGGCGACGTTTGCATGTGCCCGCCCCACCCAGTACAGCGCTTCGTGGCCACATAGGGAGCTCCACCGAAGGCCTCAGTGGCGACGCTCGCATGCGCCCACTCCACCCAGTACAACGCTCCGTGGCCCCATAGGGAGCTCCACCGAAGGCCCTAGTGGCGACGTTTGCATGCGCCCACCCCACCCAGTACAGCGCTTCGTGGCCGCCGATTCGTGGCCCCATAGGGAGTTCTGCCGAAGGCCCCAACGGCGACATTCGCCTGCGCCCCCCCCACCCAGCACAGCGATTCGCAGCCCCAGAAGGAAATTCACCAAAGGCCCCAGCGGCGACGTTCGCATGCGTCTCGTGGCCCCGTAGGGAGCTCCACCGAAAGCCCACGTGGCGACGTTGGCATGCGCCCGCCCCACCAAGAACAGCGCTGCATGGCCCCGTGGGGAGCTCCACCGAAGGCCGTACTAGCGACGTTCGCATGCGTCCGCACAGCCCAGTACAGCGCTTCGCGGCCCCATAGGGGTGCTCCGCCGAAGGCCCCAGTGGCGACGTTCGCATGCGTCCGCCCCACCCCGTACAGCATCTCGTGGCCTCACAAATAGCTCTACCGAAAGGCCCCAGTGGCGATATTTGCATGCGCCCGCCCCGACACGTACAGCGCTTCGTGGACCCATCGGGGAGCTCCGCCGAAGGCCCCAGGTTACGTTCGCACGAGCCCACCCCACCCAGTACAGCGCTTCGTGGCCCCAAAGGGAGATCCACCGAAGGCACCAGAGGCGACGTTCACACGCAACCGCCCCACCCAGCACAGCGCTTCCCATAGAGAGCTCCACCAAAGGCCTCAGTGGCGACGTTCGCATGCGTCCGCCCGCATCATGTCGGCGCACCCCTCACGCGTTTCATGGCCTGCGATGACCATGAGAGCAGAGGCGTTACCGCGTGCGCTATTCGGAGTTTGCGTGCCCCCTTCTTCGCTTCATCCGTTCGCAATACACGCAACTGCATATGGTTGGATCCCACGACAAACTCATTGGTCTCCCTCTCCTCCGCTTCTTCTTTCTCCCCCGCCTGTTCCCCAAAGGGTTTCCACAACGGCTGGGGGGAACACATGGTCCGATAGCTTGGCATAGCTCTGGCCACAACGTTCGGCCACATGGGCGATTCCCAAGAAGGCAGGGGGCGGCGGTGATTCGCCATAAACACCCTCGATTGTAAACACTAGCGAGGTGCTGTGCTGATGACGCCGGTACGAATTTAACTCGGGTGAGGTTCAGAACTACGAGCTGTGGCGGCCAATGTTGCTCTGTCGCGATGCCCCCCCGCCGCCAGAATTCCCACCAACATGTTTCAGGCGCGCGCTAAGATGGATTAGGTATCCGTGGATTTGGCGCGTGGTCACTGCCACACACGTAATCTGGTGACGGAGCGCGCCGATTATGCACAGAAGTGGAACACGCCATTAACCCACGCGCATTTATCCAGATGTGCGATTCCTTGAATTGCTCATGATTAATTAGCTTGCCCATCGTTGCGCTGAAAATTCTGCTATTCATCACATCAATGATTGCATGGCTAGGGACTTGTTATTTTGTGATTCAATGTGCCTGCCTGCGCATCGGTTGACATATTATTCGCTGACATGTGGATCGCCGCTTACGGCCAGACAATGTTCGAGGCATCCTGTAGCGCTTCAAGAGCACAGCATGTGAGTGCAACGATATCGGAGCCGACGTCTGTATCACATGCTGAGGCCACCAATATGATTGCCATTGTAACTCCCAGCCGTCCTGTGGTGTTGGGTCTTCGTTTTGAAGAGACAGCGCCCCGCGTCTCTCTTCGTCTCCTCCTCCCTCTCCTCCCTCCTCCCATCCCTGCCTCTGTCCTCCGCATGTCCATGTCGGCACACCCGGCACACGTTGCGTGGCCCTACAGGGAGCTCCACCGAAGGCCCCATGGCGGGGGTCGCATGCCTAGCCCATTTCGGCACACCTGAGGCAGCTGGGCAGCACATTTCGTGGTCCCATAGGGAGCTCCACCTGAGGCAGCAGGGCACCAGGGGTGGGGGAGGGTCGCAGAGCGTCTCCCAGCCCACTTCGGCACACCCCTCAAACGTTTCGTGGTCCCACAGGGAGCTCCACCTAAGACTCCAGTGGGTGCGTCCACATGCGGTCCCCGTCCATTTCGGCACACCCCTCACACGCTTCGTGTCCCCATAAGGAGCTTCACCGGAGGCCCCAATGCGTCCACACACGGCTCCCCGGCCACTTCGGCACGCCCCTCACACGCGTCGTGTCCTCATAGGGAGCTCCACCGAAGGCCCACTGGGTGCGTCCACATGCGGCTCCCCGCCCGTTCTGGCGCACCCCTCAGACGTTTCCTGGCCTGTTCGGGAGCTCTTACGGGGTGCCCGTACGTGTGAGTCCACATGCGACTCCCCGTCAATTTCGTCGCACACTCACACACTTCGTGGCCCCATAGGAAGCTCCACCTGAGGCCTCAGCGGGTGCGTCCACATGCGGTTCCCCTCCATTTCGGCGCATCTCTCATATGTCTCGTCCAGAGTGGGTGCGTCCACACACGGCTCCCCACCCATTTCAGCACACCCCTGACAAGACTCGTAGCTCGTAGGAAGATACCCCTCCTTCGTCCCACCTGCCTTGCGGTACCCACACTTGCATACTGTATACGTGGACCCTTCGCCAAGATAATGTGCTGTGTTTCCCGTGGCACCACATCCTTTTGAAACGAACACGCGCGCCTCCCACCCGCGCGCTGCGGGCGAACGACCACAACCAACAAACATATTCTCTTACTTCGCTGGGAAAAGGAAATGCGCCAGGTGTGCAGAAAAGCTAGCGTTGACAGCTGAGTTGAGGAAGCCAATGACCCTGCAGAACAAGTACGAACGAGGTCGCCACCGCCACATCCAGAAAAAGAGGGGGCCGCACTCAGTCATTGCACAACGTGGGCAGGCCTGCCGAAGGACGGCCGCGCTTGCCACCAACTGCCGGGCTTCGCTTGCCCCGTGTGGACGGAAAGCGCGGCTTGGACGTGGCCCGCGCTGCTGCTGCTGCTGCTCCCGCCGCTCCTGCTCTCCCTCCTCCTCCTCGTCCTTCGCTGCCCCTTCCTCCTCCTCTGACTACTGCCTGATCTCCGCTCCTCCGCCTACGCCTGTTCCTCCCCCCTGGCCCCACCCCCTCTCTGACAATCATCCCCCTCCTCACCCTCACTTCTGCCTCGGCTTCCCTCCCGCAAAAGGCAAAGAAAACCCGAGACCCGATCCTGCAATATGTGGGGCACCAGCTTCTCGAAGATTTTCACCAGATGCAAGGCCCTGAGGAGGCAGCAGGCTGCCAACGCGTCGAAATCTCTCGTCAGAATCCGAAGCTTGCAAGGCTTGACCCGAAACGGTCGAGACAAGCACAGGAAGTGGCGCAACCTCCACCTCCAGTCTGCGACTTCCTGCTGCGAGCTCTGAGCCCGTTGCTACGAGCTCCTCGACCTTCGCCTCCTCCCCCCGCAGCTCATCGGCATTGGACAGCAAGAAACAACCAGCAGTGAGAGGCGCCGAGGGAATGACCCCGAGCCAGGCAGCAGCTCGAGCCGACCAACGCTGGCTGGTCGCCCCTGACCACGCCGAGGCTGATCAGGAACCCCTTTTCCTTCCCCTTCCAATGTTAAGTACACACACCTGCTTTCCTCCTTCACAGCCCTGTACCAACGAGTGGTCGTAGATCAACGAGACACACCAATACACATTGCAACCCAAGCGTTCGACGATCGTACTCGAACCAAGGCCGTGCTCTCCCGGATGAGGGGCGAGCCGGGGCAAGCAGTGACGACTGGAAAACACGCAAACAGGCAAATGAATCATGCGGTGCATTGACAGAGAGAAAGAGAGAGAGAGAGAGAGAGAAACAAACAACAAATGGAAAAGGAGAGAGAACAGCAACAAAAAGAGAGAACGAGAGAAACATAATCGGTACTCCCACGCGTCGCATCCAGCGAACTGGGGAACAAAGCACAAGCAAAAAGGTGCTGGCGCAAGGGAGTGCCGCTGGAATC